TAAATTTTAATTTTTACTTTTTTTGGCACTCATTAAAAATAAATTTTTAAAGGGAAATAAAAAAAATTTATTAATTTTTGGAAGGGGTATAAAAACACAAACTCCAAAACATATTTTTAAAATACAATGGCACAAACATCTTAAAAATCAATTGAAATATGTCGGTTCCATTTATTCCGTTCGGAAGAGAATAGCATGAAATATCATCATTTCTTAAACATAAATCTTTCTTTCATAATATAAGTAATTAAAATCTCAGCTTTTAGAAAATGCTTGGCATGCATAGTGTAGGTTTTGTTTAGATTTATGTGGCTGCAATTATTAAAATGGTGTATGCCTTGTGATAAAATATTGGATGTTTAATGCAAAAGTTTTCGACAGTAGTTTTGATCTAAATATAGTTGCTAATGCACAAGAAAGTGAGCTTTCTCAAGGAATTATTAAGGAAAACTTATATAATTTTGTATCAAGTAATTCATTTTATGCACATCAATGCGTAAATTATAATTTTGTATCAAGTAATTCATTTCATGCACATCAATGCGTAAATGTTGTTTGCAATGCGTAAATGTTGTTTGATTGTGATTTATATTTAAATTTGCTAACTTACCTGTAATTTTATAATGTTTTTGTTTGGTGAAAATTGCGTTTCCTCAAAGAGCTTTCAAAATATCGCTTTAAGAGAAATGACAAGTGTTTGCAACCGTTCATCTATGACCAATTATTATCATTAACATACCATTTCCCCTCCGATAAGATTTTATTTTAAGTTTTATAAAAATCGGTGGCACTACTAACGATATTTTTTCGAATGATTTTGTGATGTAATCAAATCAATTTCAAGGAAATTGAGGAACGATCTTTATGTATGTATACATATTGTACGTGCCCATATGGTTAGTCAGCTCATGTTCATGAAATATTTCATAGTGAACTGTGATATTTTATTTCTAGAATACGTTATCAAAGACAACAAAAAATACTTTTAACATTGCTTTTGTAATGAACTTTACAGTTTTGTAATGATAAAATAATGTAGTTTGTATCACGAGTAATATAATGTACATTTGCAACACTTACTTAGTTATGAGATATAATTATAAAAAGAGAATAAGGCAGGGTGATTGTCAATTATTTCTCATTATATTCCGCTTTATATTAGTTAACATAATTACAACACTAATTGGATTCCATAATGCCTAAGATATATTTCAATTGTATATAAATGATTAGGTTTTTAGTTCGTTTACCATGTGTGTACAGCGTGTGATATCTGAACAATTGTTATTTAAAAGTTTGTATGGTACGATTTTCTTTAAGGACTAAAGTTAAAGGTGAAACTTAGTATATGTTTAAACACATTTATTTATTTTGCCTCTTGATGTGAAAGTATGTTTCATTAACCATGTTAACACAGCCAGTTAAATCAGTATAGTTTTTACCCAAGCTATACTTGGTCTTTATCTTTTTCTCAGACAAGTTTGAGCAAGTTGCTTTCAAAAGCAGTTTAAATTAGTAACATGTCACAATAATATCATCAACTTCTCTCAAGTACCCAATTTGTTAGATAGTGAAAACGTTTTCCTTCTTAAAATGATTTGGTCGAGCAGTGTTGCCAAAGGAAATTGAAACTGACGATTTTATATAAAAGTCAACAACAAAATAACAACTATCCCAAGTACAATTAAATTTATGGCGCCAAAATGAATGACGGGCTTGTCAACGAATATCTCCAAAATGCCAATAAAGGACAGACAACTCTAAATAATCTGTTATTTTAGTTTTGTGTTCTAAGAATAGCACACATTCTGTTGAATCTTAAAATGAATTGATCCTGTATTCAAGATAAAATATTTATGACCAACCAGAGTCGTACCTTGGCAAATTAAACCAAATATGTAGCTCAAGTAACTAACTGTTTTTCAAATGCATTATTTTTAATAATCATGCATTAAACTTACATAAAGTTTCCGAGAGTTAAACGTTATTGTTTAAAGAATCATGCATACATGAATCATGCATACATGACACAATTCTGAGATCGACACACAACCAACAGTGATAGACCTTTTAGGTGTTCTCAACGCAATTAAACCGGCAACAGCAGCCTCAGAGAATACTGTAAAGCTCACCATGGTGATAGGTCTTCTTGTGGGTTCTGCACGCAATAGCATCGGCGGCGACAGCCTCATATAATACTGTAAACTCACACAAGCCTGGATGATAGGCCTTTTCAATGGGTTCTGAGTGCAACAAAAAGCACTTTAGATTGCAGCCTCAGCAAATACAGTAAAATTGACAAACTTTAAAGTGATAGGTCTTTTAGTTTGCTATTCACGCAATAGAACCGGCGTCGGCAGCCTCAGAGAATACTGTAAAGCTCACACAACCCACGGTGGTAGGCCTATCAGGGGGTTCTTAACGCAATAAAACCGGCGGTGGCTCACACAACCCACGGTTATAACCCTTTTAGTGGGTCCTTAACGGAATAAAAGCATTGGCGGAAGCCTCAGAGAATACAGTAAAGCTCACATAACCCACGGTGATAGGCCTTTAATGGCGTTCTGGACATAATAAATCCGACTGAAGCTAGCTGTCTCAGAGAATACAGTAAAGCTTATACGTTCCTATGAGATAGGCCTTTTAGTGTGTTTCTAACACATTACAATCAGCAGGGCAGTCTCAGCTCAGAGAAAAAAGTAAAGGTCACAAGGTGATAGGCTTTTTAAGGTAGAACGCGACACTTTGCAAACTTTCAAGTAGCGTCTTGAAAATTGGCATGCAAAAAATTGACCATATTTCTGATTGGATTTCGTTGATTTTATTTCAATAGTTTCAGCCAATTTTTGTACACATGACGTCAAAGTTGACCATCAAAGCCCGTTTTTGAACAAGACGTCGTTGCGTATCCTTGCCAACTGTTACTGGTATTTAAACGCCATTGGCGGACAAAATATCTTAAATCCTACAGCATTCGACGAAAATTATTTTTTCCTTTAAGCAGATATAAAATTTATTGTTTTACGCCGAAAGGTGAGGGTTTTACGGTGAGGCCTTTAAGGGGGTTCTGAACGCAAATAATCCAGCGGTTGAAGCCTTTAAGAATAGTGTAAAGCTCTCACAACCCACAGTTATTGGCCTTTTAGGGGGTCTTTTCGCAATATAATCGGCCCCAGAGAATACAGTAAAGCTCACACAACCCACGGTGATAGGCCTTTTAGGGGGCTGTGAACGCAAAAAACCTGCAGTTTAAGTCTTTAAGAATGGAGTAAAGCTTTCACAACCCACAGTGATTGGCCTTTTAAGCGGTCCTTTACACAATATAACAGGCTTTGGCAGCCTCAGAGAATACAGTTATACTCGCACAACCCACGGCGATTAGCCTTTTCGGGGGATTCTGAACGCAAGAAATCCGGCGAATGAAGCCTTAAAGAAAAGAGTAAATGTCGCACAACCCACGGTGATGGAACATTTTGGTGGTCCCTTTCACAATATAACCGGCGGTGGCAGCCTCAGAGAATACAGTAAAGCTCACACAACCAACTGTGGGGCCTTTATGGGGCTTCTGAACGCAAAAAAAATCCGGCGGTTAAAGCCTTTTAGAATAGAGAAAAGCTCTCACAATCTACGGTGATTGGCCTCTGTGGGGCCTTTTCGGGGGCTGTGAACGCAACAAAACCGGCGGTGGCAGCCTCAGAGAATACATTAAAGCTCACAAACCCCACGGTAATAGGCCTTTAAGGGGCTTCTGAACGCAAAAAAAAATCCGGCGGTTAAAGCCTTTTAGAACAGAGAAAAGCTCTCACAATCTACGGTGATTGGCCTTTTAGGTTGTCCTTTACACAATATAACCGGCGGTGGCAGCCTCAGGGAATACAGTAAAGCTCACACAACCAACGGTGATAGGCCTTTTAGGGCGTTCTGAGCGCAAGAAATCCGGGGGTTGAAGCCTTAAAGAAAAGAGTAAATGTCTCACAACCCACGATCATTATGCCTTTTAGGGGGTCCTTTACACAATAAAATCGGCGGCGGCAGTCTCAGAGAATACAGTAAAGCTCACAAAACCTCCGGTGATAGGCTTTTTGGGCACTCTGACCGCAATAAAACCGGCGGTGTAGCCTAAGAGAATACAATAAAGCTCACATAACCCACGCAGGTAGGCCTTTTAGGAGGTACTTAACGCAATAAATCCGGCGGTTAAAGCCTTAAAGAATAGAAGAAAGCTCTCACAACCCACAGTGATAGGCCTTCTAGGGGTCCTTTAAACAATAAAACCTGCTGTTGCAGCCTCAGAGAATACGGTGAAGCTCAAACAACCTACGGTGATAGGCCTTTTAGGGGGTTTTGAACGCAAGAAATCCGGCGGTTGAAGCCTTAAAAAAAGAGTAAATGTCTCACAAACCACAGTGATAGGTGTTGATTTTTAATTGATATGTTCTAGCCTTTTTAGCAAAATTAATCTATGAAATCTAGAGCATTTTTTAAAGAAAATGCCCCATTTTCAAATTGTTCCAATAGGTTGTGAAGTACTTACATCACCTTTACTCAAATAGATACAAAATGTTTTAACAACTTATTTTGTGAGATATTTTATATCGCCTATAAGCTATAGATACAGTATATGAGCCATTTTTCAATAATTAAGTATACAGTATACTTAAATATTTTTTTATATTTTATGCATCCCTTTGCAGCTAATGAAGTAATGTTTAAATTGATACCAAAATTATTGAAATTGATTATGAAAAAAAGAAGTTATGTTTCTTCAGTTTTGCGCTCGTATAATAAGACTTTTCGTTTTTCTGTGATTTCTTTCTTTCCGTTAATTTCTCAACATGTCAGTATTTAGTTTGCTCTATATCAGCAGACGCTTACTTGCATCATGAAGTGAAGGACAAAAATGTTCATTCCATATAAGTTCTTGATGAATCGTTTTGTTGCGTTTTCTTTAAGAAATTTTCATAATAAAACTAGAGGATATGTAGCCCGACATGAATTAAAAACACCAGCTGTAAGTCAAAAAAATTTAACGATTTAGAATCATTTCGGCCCCAAGACGTTTCGGCCCCGGACGTTTCGGCCCTTTACCAAATCGGCCCCATTCAGCATTTAATAGCATTTAAATGAATCTATTGATTAAATCATGATTTTGTATAAGAATGAGGCTTTAATAGGAGGGAATAGTATGGGGAAAGTAATCAATACAAACAGAACAATATAAACTTTATATAAAAAAATTATGCACCATCAAACAATCTTAGAATCTACATTGAATCGATAAACACGTTCCGAACTAGCAGATGACAGGCTATTCTTATTAGTAGTTTTTCGAGTAAAGATAACCAGTTGGGTATCTCACTGTATAAAGTGTATGTAAAATGGTCTGATATATGGTAGGTTTAACAGTTAATTTAATAAATACTTTGCTGTCAAAAGACATGGTGTCAAGGGTATACGCATCATTTTTCCGCGTTCCGTTGATAATTTAACATCCTGCGCGCAGTACCGTATCATTCTTACGTAATCTTCTGAAAAGTGGAAGAGGTAAGTTCAAAAATGCGAAAAATTTCTTACTAAAATTGATTTTATTTCGAGAGTTTGTATACCACGGTAGTTTAAGGTCTTCAGCCTAACCGTTTATATACTATGACGTAAACACTGAAGACAACTCCGTAGGGAAAGTCCACCAATAATCGTGCCAGGAATCTGACACGCTCGTATTCATTCATCGAACATGCCATAAAGTAATTTAGTAAAGTGAAGCATACCTTGATAAAACTATATATAATCAGTTGATAAGCCAAGGATGGACAAATTAAAATCTTATTACCAACATAAACTACCTAATAGTTTCCGACAGGTAAAAATTTCGGCAATTGGCCGCCTTATTGCCAAAATGTTTGACCACGTGATTATGAGATTGATCTTTACGAACCCATGTCCAATATTTTTATAAATTACTTTTTTTAAAGATATTGAAAAAGGTGATTTACTGACTTTTGTATTCAATAAAATCTTATTTAAGTACTAAAAAATTAATGAAAATAAATAAAAACATTATCATGAATAAAAAAATCGATATCATGGCAACAAAGATGTTCTAAATATAGTACACGACTCTATTCTTGTCGGTTCCCACGAATGACGTCATACGAGATCTCTCGTGGCACCTAAATGTCATGGCCGACTGTAGCTGGCGTAATTGATGTTTTACAGTTAAATAGGCAATTTTAATGACGGTATTAATATTTTGATACTTTAATTGGTATAGAACGAGTTTTGATAATTCATCTATGTTCGCAAAACATTTTGCAACAATATTAGTCTATCATAACCTGAAACTAATGAAAACACTTTTATACATGTGAAACATTTGTGTTCTCGATGTGAACATTTTTCATCCTTTTCCGAAAGTAAAGTTGTCGTTAAAAGTATCATATGTCAAATGATCACAAAAAGCATTGATACGAGCTGATAAAATACCAATTTGTCTTCTTATGTCTGTAAGAAGACACTTTTGAGAGAAACCTCATACTCAACTGTATCCATTACATATCTGTGTCGGCATGCTTGAATTTTTCCTTGTAGTTCCATTTATTGATAGACTATTATGAAACTTATAGATAACTTTAAGCACAACAATGTAAGTTTCTTGCTCAAGGAAACATGGGATAGCCGCTGGCGGGGTTCGAGCTCACGCCTGGACAAGCGATGCCAGAATTCCAAGCCCGACGTTTCAGTCTAGAAGTCACGGGTTCGATTCCTTACAGTATACTCTTCCAGTGTATTTACTCAAATTATTTAGTTTAAACAATATTTTATTTATAAACATTTCATTTACATGATAATTGACAAATATTAAATTGCACGGATTGAGTAGGAAGCTTGAAAATCTTGTTTTTTTAGAAACTCTCTCCGTAAGCACTATCTCAAAGAGTCAGTGATTTTTTTTCCTGTATTTTACAGCCGAATAAAGGCTGTTTCCCCTAGCCCTAAATAGGTATATTTTCCCCTTAAATGCTACTATTTTTCCCCTAAAATGCCCATTGCAGACTTTTCACTAGGGCCATGACTTAACAGCATCTGACCTATATTAGCTTAACCCATTGCTTCATATACACGCCTTTTAACGCCTTTTTCACCCCCCCCCCCTTTTTGTTGTCTCAAATGATGAAAAAATGCCTTATTTAGGCCCCAAACACTTGTTTTTTGTTTGAGAAATGTTGTTAAAAAAGTGACCTCTTTTTCGGCGCAGCCCCCCAGCCAAAAGATACATCAGGGGGTTGCCAGAAGGGGGATGTGCCCCCTTCTGTTTGGGGGGGTTTGAAGGGGGGCGGAGTCCCCCTCATCGCCAAGAAAATTTTGGACTTGTGAGAGGCTGTAAATGACCCCAGATTGATCATAAGGTAACGTGTAACCAACGCTGAAAAGCATTTGACTCTATCTCAATCCATTGAGAAGTTGCAGCACTTTGAAATCAATTTTGATGGAAAAAATCAACGCAAAATAGTGATTTTTGGCAATTTTGAGATGTCCCCTCGTTGCCATGGTAACAGAAAATTAAAGCCTGAGCATGTTGTTGCAAGGGCAATGGTCCAGTCAACATTTGTGCCAAGTTTGATTAGTGTTGAAGCAGTTTTAATAGTATCATAGCAATTTGAACTTGTAACGGGAGACTTTTCAATGAAAACAGCCATTTTTCACAAAATGCTCATGAAGTAATGGGTTAAGACAGAACGCTGTCCCTACAGATAGCCTCTGCTTTGTATCATGGATGTTAAATTGAATTGAAATTGAATATTCTAAAATATGTGTAGGTAAACCATTCTCAGTTCTTAGAATTTGATTTTCCCCTTTTCTGATTTATCACGCTATATTTCCCCTTCAGAAAGCCACAGGTTGTTTTCAAAATTGAAAAAAAAAATCACTGAAAGTATGTATAAAATGGTAACAATTATATATATGCATATTTGTGTTAAATATACATAACATTTTCACTATAAACTTGCTTATTTACATGTACAAGAATGTTAGCAATTTGCACAATCTGGTTGTGTTAATTGAACCGATCTTAATAATAAAGTATCGACTCCAATTCTTTCGAATATGACTGTGGTCCCATGTGTTTACGCCGGGCACACAAAAGAACCAGATTTGCTTCTATTTATGCATTTTCCTCCGGTTCAAAAATAATTAATATACATCTACAGGTCTCGCCCAGATGGGCAACAATAAATAAATACAAATAAGATTATTCAACATTAGGTTAATAATCATGATGCGGTGCAAGTCTAGCGCTAATGTATACGGTGCCACATTTTTCGGTGCAGACCCATGATACGGTACGAAGAACTTGGTCAGTTGTCACACTTTTATGACTTTTTTAAGAAATTAAAAGCTTAAATTTGTGTGCAATATTCTGTGTTTACATATCTTTGATGCTTACAGTTATATTAAATAAATATTTCGATTGACAACATAATTGTCTCTTTTAGAAGTTTTCCAAATGCTCATTTTCCCCAAGCCAGCTCTAGCTGTTTTCATAAAAACAAAGAAATCTTAAAAGTCTTTATTAAAAACTAGCTAAAGACATACTAGCTTCAATGATCATAATATTCCGTAGACACACTTTTATGAATACACTTACTTCAAATGTGTGACTTTCAGGTCATTTTCCGTCATGCATGTTGTGTTTAAGTGTTTGTTTTGTCTAAAATGATACGGTGCTGCACACAGGATGATAAATTATCGACGGTACGGGGAAAAATGATGTGTATACCCTTGACACCGTGAAAGATGTGTTGAAGTGTAAACTGTGACAAAGCTAAGATCCAAAGCTTTCCATTGATGTAATAATTTTTAAAATCGGACATCACAACAAATTAGAGCTTTAAAAAAAATGTTTCAATGTTCCATTACTATCTCAGCATATATATTTAAAACTTTACAAAAATTGATTTTATTATGAAAATCTAAGAATAATTTATCTAATTTAATTTTCTATATATAATGAAATTATTCCAACAATAATGCACTAAAACACTTGATTTTCAAATTGCTTGTTATAACTTATCTTTAGTGTCCAGCTTTATTTGTCATCCAATGAAAAAGCTTTATTTCTTAAAAATTGTGTGCGTTAATTTTCATAGAAGAACAAAAGTCAATACTATATCGAATTTCATTCATAGTCGCCTTCTATTTTTCATAGTACTTTATAGAACCGCGTAGTGACTTAATTAAGTGAATAATAATGAGCCCAAAATAAACTTGACACTAAGTATGTTAGTATTCATCCATAGCTGTTCTACAGTAATTAGAAACATTCTCCTGTCGCTATCGCTCCCATCGAAATTTCTAATTTCTGTAGAACAGCACAAATGAACACTAACATATACATAGCAAGTACATTACATTTATAATTTGGTTTCTAAGTTTTTTCAGCCGCTTTTATAACATTTACCATCTATCGTTATCTAATAACAGTGTTAACTAAAATATTTACCAAGAGATTATAACAAAACTTTTTCTGTTTTTTTTTTAACTTTTGAAGTTTATGTTGATATTACTAACCGCTAATTAGCATAAAGCTATAAACATCTATCTAGATAGATTAATTTAGATCAATAGATCATGTTTCCTAAGGAATAACAAGATGCAAATAAACATTTCTTATTGGTATTTTTAGCTCACCTGTCACAAAGTGACAGGGTGAGCTTTTGTGATCGCTTTTCGTCCGGCGTCCGGCGTCCGTCCGTCGTCCGTAAACTTTTACTTTAAATGACATCTTCTCATAAACCACAAGGCCAATTTCATCCAAACTTCACAGGAATGTTCCTTTGGTGGTCACCTTTAAAAATTGTTCAAAGAATTTAATTCCATGCAGAACTCTGGTTGCCATGGCAACCGAAAGAAAAAACTTTAAATATCTTCTTTTAAAAAACCATAAGAGCTAGAGCTTAGATATTTGGCATGAAACATCTTCTAGTGAGTGTCTACCAAGTTTGTTCAAATAAAAGCCCGCCCCGGGGGGTCATTGATTTTCCCTATATGCATATAGTGAAAACTTAAAAAATCTTCTTTTAAAGAACTCAAAGAGCTATGGCTAAGATATTGAGCATCAAACATGTTCTAATAGGTGTCTATCAAGTTTGTTCAAAGAAAAGCCCTGGGGTCAAAATTGGCCCCGCCCCAGGGGGTCATTGATTTTCCCTATATGCATATAGTAAAAACTTAAAAAATCTTCTTTTAAAGAACCAAAAGAGTTAGAGCTAAGATATTTAGCATGAAACATGTTCTAATAAGTGTCTACCAAGTTTGTTCAAATAAAAGCCCTGGGGTCAAAATTGACCCCGCCCGGGGGGGTCATTGATTTTTCCCTATATATGCATATAGTAAAAACTTAAAAATCTTCTTTTAAAGAACTCAAAGAGCTATGGTTAAGATATTTAGCATCAAACATAATCTAATAGGTGTCTACCAAGTTTGTTCAAATAAAAGCCCTGGGGTCAAAATTGGCCCCGCCCGGGGTCATAGATTTTCCTTATATGTGTATAGCAAAAACTTAAAAAATCTTTTTTGAAAAAACCCAAATAGCTAGAGTTAAGATATTAAGCATGAAACATCTTTTAGTGAGTGTCTACAAAGTTTGTTCAAATAAAAGACCTGGGGTCAAAATTGGCCCTGCCCCGGGGTCATTGATTTTCCTTATATGTGTATAGCAAAAACTTAAAATCTTCTTTGAAAAAACCCAAATAGCTAGAGTTTAGATATTAAGCATGAAACATATTCTAGTAAGTGTCTACAAAGTTTGTTCAAATAAAAACCCTGGGGTCATAACTGGCCCGGCCGCAGGCGTGTCATTGTTTTTTAACTATATGTGTATAGTAAAAACTTTAAAAAAATCTTCTTTTAAATAGCCCAATGAGCTAGAGCTTAGATGTTTAGCATGAAACATTTTCTTATGGGTGTCTACCAAGTTTGTGCAAATAAAAGCCCTTTGGTTAAATTGGCCCTGCAATGTTTTGGGGGGGGGTTGGGGCGACCTATATACAGGTGAGCGACCTCAGGGCCATCATGGCCCTCTTGTTTCTTAAGGAATTACATGGCATAATATAAATTTATTGTGCATAAAACTCTTTTACATTTAAGTTTATGGCAAAAACAGATATAATTGTGGCAAGTATAAAATTATGAAAATGTGTTTTCAGAAGAGATACATGTAACTGTAATTAATTTTTCAATCCAGAAATTTTAGCAGTTTGTTTTATAAATTAAGGATTAAAGTCCCTTAATTGTTTGTTACACTTTTAAAGCAGCACGCCTCCAGGTTAATGCTTATTTTCATTAAAAATTTTAAAAATGAAATTAACTGTTTATTATTTTATAGTAACCAAAAGGAATCATTTTACACATTATCAATGGCACGTTTATTACAAGAAGAGTTCAAAATATGCGAAAAATGCCCTTACTGAGTTAGTAATGCAGTGGCAATTCACCATTAATAGCTGATAACATGTAAATTATTACTTGAAATATCTTTCTACTCTGCCTAAACTCTTAGTACATTTTCACAAGTTTGATTTATTGAAATATTTTTGATGACATCTGGAGGAATGCTGCTTTAAAAATATTAACATATATCTAAATAGTTCAAGAGATCAAAAGATAAATAATTATTTATTAAAGAATTAAAGTGTCATAATTGTTTGTGTTACCAATCAAGCAATGTACTATAGTAGGGCCGAAACGTCCCGCAGAAAAGGGCTGAAACGTCCAGGGGCCGATTTTTGCACTGGGGTCGATTTGGTTTGGGGCCAAACCGTCCTGTTTCCAAATTTAACGAGTTGCACCACTAGTCTAGTGATCCCAAATTTATACCACACACAGACATTTGGGATGTGGAGTTCAAAACCCTTTAAAAATAAAATAAAATGTAGATCTGTATTTGTCAATCCCATCACATGTACTTATCATTTTTGTCATAAAAACTTAATATAAGCTGTGACATATACAAAGAGGAAAATTCTCTGAAAAAAGTCAAGGTGGCAAGTAATCGTAGTAGAAGTACATTGTTTACCTTAAATTAAATCTGTTTCAGGTCTATGTGAAACAGTTAAGCTGGAAAGTCACCATATAACCAATATTATGATGGTGTGACATATAAATGCGTAAACTTTTTACCTGTGTTTTCTGTTTCTAGGTTAGAAAAATAAATCGGAAAAAAGCAGAGAGTAGAAATAGCAAAGAAATTGGATTTGATACTCCATTGTCAACAGTGGCTAGAAATGCTTCAGTTCAGGTTTTATCTACTGGTGCCTATGGAATGGGACGATCAGTTGTACTTAGAACAGGCAATCAAATGTAAGCTATAACTTCAATGGACCTTTCCGGTGTTTACAGTTTTATGTAAATTGACTAACTTGTTATCCAATTGCTACACTAAGAAAATACATAGTCACTGGTTGACCTGGTTTGCACAAAAGAACACGTGGTTATAATGTTTGTGATACCTTTTGTGAGCAGTTGACCTAGCAATGAATAGAAAAGGTGTGGCTAAATTTTTCGCTATGGAAAACTGGAAAAGGTCCACACTTTAAGCCAAACAGGAACAAAACATATTGCAAATTTTAGTTAGAGACAATCTTGGGCTGAGATTTGTCTCAGTCCGAAATGTTAGTGACAGCGGGGACTGGGCTTGGATATTTAGTTTAGTATATGATTACCTAGTAGTGGACCTTTACCAAACTTATATAATAAATCGTGCACCTGATGTGAAAATCGGCTCTCCATATGTTGTCAATTAATTTGCGTACACCTCAGTCTTCTTCTGCATGTAGCATTGCTTAGAGTTAGCCTCTTTAAAATGAAAAACTATATGAGTAATTGTAGCAGGATGAATAATGAGCCTGCTCTATGTTACCATTTGTTTCATTGACTTGTTTAGAAAATTTATTTTAAAAACCATATTTTCACAGTCATATTTAAATGCCCAGAGCAAAATGTATATAAATCATGTTCGAAGCATCTGTGGTGGTCTTTTACTACATGTATACAAAGACTGATATAGGAAACATGTAAACATAGATCAACAAGGTAAACATATTCAAATCATCTTATGTAAAACTACATGTCCTAGAACACAAAGTAGTGCCTACTACACCTATACAGAAGTTTATGAAAAAAAATTTTCCCTTCCTTAATACATGTTTGACACGAAGACCCGCCTCTGAATGGAAGATTAATGTTCTGTTCTAGCAATTGGTTTAAGGTAAGATTTCTATGGCCTTTGGCCTTATTGTTGTACAAAAGTTTTTTTTATAGAATTGATTTCAATAAGGTCCTGTTTCCTTCTGTTTACAGGTATCTGTTCAACTGCGGGGAAGGCACGCAAAAAATATTGACAGACAATGGGTAAGTCTTTAAAGTGGGATACATATTCCAGGTAGTGGCTGCTAAAATTTGTCAGTTTATTAGTCTGATCCAAGCAGTTTAATTAAGTTATTAGGGTCATGTAATGGTAAACAAACAAAAGATCCATGTTTAACTTTTAGTAATAATCGAATATTTAGGAAATTTGTTGTACCCTCTGTCTGTGTGAGATTGTGTCTTGACTTTTTCTTTGCATTCACTGGCTGAAATATAAAAAAAATTCATGGGAAGCAAAGTGACAGGGTGAGCTTTTGTGATCGCTTTTCGTCCGGCATCCGTCCGTCGTCCGTCCGTCGTCCGTAAACTTTTACTTTAAATGACATCTCCTCATAAACCACTAAGCCAATTTCATCCAAACTTCACAGGAATGATCCTTTGGTGATCACCTTTAAAAATTGTTCAAAGAATTTAATTCCATGCAGAACTCTGGTTGCCATGGCAACCAAAAGAAAAAAACTTTAAATATCTTCTTCTAAAAAACCCAAAGAGCTAGAGCTTAGATATTTGGCATGAAACATCTTCTAGTGAGTGTCAAGTTTGTTCAAATAAAAGCCCTGGGGTCAAAATTGGCCCCACCCCAGGGGACATTGATTTTCCCTATATGCATATAGTAAAAACTTAAAAAATCTTCTTTTAAAGAACCCAAAGAGCTAAGATATTTAGCATGAAACATCTTCTAATGGGTGTCTACCAAGGTTGTTCAGATAAAAGCCCTGGGGTCAAAATTGGCCCCGCCCCAAGGGGGTCATGGATTTTCCCTATATGCGTATAGTGAAAACTTAAAAATTTTTCTTTTAAAGAACCGAAAGAGCTAGAGCTAAGATATTTAGCATGAAACATCTTCTAGTGAATGTCTACAAAGATTTTTTTAAAATAAAACCGGGGGGGTAAAAAACGGGTCCTCCCCCGGGGGTGTCATTTTTTTTTAACTCCCATTTTTAAAATTTTTTTTTTAAAAAACCCAAACGAGCTAACCTTAGTTTTTTTTTGCATCAAACATCTAATGGATGCCCTCCCAAGTTTTTTTCAAATAAAACCCCCGGGGGTTTTTAAAACTGGCCTTTTTTTTATAATCGATGTTTTCGAATTGTTTTTTTAAACCCAAAACTTGCAATTTTTTTGCCAGTTTTAAATTTTAAAACCCTCAGTCTTTTTCAATTTAAAAACTGTTTGCTTTTTTTTTTAATTCAAAATTTTTTTTTCTGGGGAAACTATGATTATTAAAGGTTTCCTAACTTAATTCTCATTATTTTTCAGCATAACTCTTTCACAAGTTGACGATTTTTTTATCACATTCAATTCTTGGGACAATACTGGTGGCATTTTTGGTAAGTGTTTTATTTTTTAATTACACACCTGCAGTGTTGCATTTGAGCGATTTGCACATATTTTTTGCAGATTGCGCATTTTAATGAAGTCATATTAAATTGGTACTTATTAAAATTGATTAGTCTTTATCCAGATAAAAGGTCCTATTATTTCTGAAAGCAATTTAACTAACATAGGGCATCCGTGGCCAAGTGATTAAGGTTTTGGATTTTAAACCACTTCCTCTTACTGCTGTAGGTTTGAGCTTCTTCAGATTCTCTCATGTGAGAAAGCTATCTAGCGAGCTTTCTGGACATGGGTGGTTCTTCTCAAGTGCCTGATTGTGCCTGAAATAATGGACAGAGGGGCACCTAGGGTCTTCCTCCACCAGTAAAGCTGGAAAGTCACCATATGACCTTTACTGTGTTGCTGAAACATAAAACCCAAATAAAAAATATCATTATTAGGTTAAATGATCTCCATTTGTAGAAGTTAATCAAGTTCCTCGAGGAAAAACTTAGTTCACACATAAAATCCTCATTTTTTTACTCCCTGCCAAAGAAACAATTCAAAACTACACTTGTAATGAAGAAAAAGAAGTACAACACATCAGAAACAGGTTTAAAGTTTGTGAACATTTTTTTAACCAAAAGGATATATGTGACTGGTTGTAAGTAAAATGCCGATATAATTTTACATTTTCAGCTTTTTTCATTCATTCTTCTATGTCTACGAATCCCTCTAAAGAAGTGCTTCGTTGTCATGGACCATCATTTGTGGCAAGTATACTCTATGCATTAATTACATTAATCTGAAAGATCTATGGACAGTTAAAAATCCCTCATGACTATGCTAATGAATGGATGATCCTACCAGACAGTCAATCCAGAGAACCTGGCACTGTTGGAATCCCAACTGCGCATGAAGCTCAGTTTTTTTCTTGAGACATTTCTATATATTAATTCCCGCTCATGACAACTTCCTTATTTATTTTTATATGCAAACCATGAACAGATAATTGGTTTACAACTTTAATACTTCAAAAATATATAAAAATGAAAATAAAGAAATACTTGCCCTCCATTCTGCCAATTCGCAACCTTTTGCCCTTTCTGTCAGTCTTCGGGCAAGGACCTCAAACACAATAGTAAGAATACAACAGAATTAGTATGGTATTTTCAGTCTAACGCTAAGAAACTTAGAACAAATAAATAGTTAAGTAATTTATTGCTAGTAGTTGAAGACTAAATTTATACCAATATATCGAGTAAAAGTCCGCCTGTATTATTATTAAGTAAATTTACAGATATAACAGTAAACAGTACAGTACATTATTTATATACTTATTATTTTGGTTGTAGAAACCTAAAGTATAAAATGTTACTGTTGACATTTATTCGGATTTGGCCATAATTGTACATCAGTGAGCATTTGTTAGTTGATTATGATTGCCAGACATAATTATGTTTAACCATAAGTTTACCAAAATAGACTTTATTTTCTTGTGGATGTCAAATACATACATACAATTGTTATACATTATTAAAAATTACACCCTCTGTCTTTGTTTACATCTAAATCCATGTGGTTGAACTACTTTCAATACGTATTCAATCGGAGGTTATTATGATAGCGGAGGATGTTCCGAATGCCATTCTGCATTAAAGCACTGGCTAGGGAGTATTTATATCTCCTTTATTAAAAGTTTGTAGTCTTGATTTGAACATAGTTGAGCTGCGTCACGACAAAACCAACATAATGGGTTTGCGACCAGCATGGATCCAGACCAGCCTGCACATCCGCGCAGTCTGATCAGGATCAATGCTGTTCGCTTACAAACCCTATAACAAGTAGAGGAACTGATAGCGAACAGCATGGATCCTGATCAGACTGTGCGGATGCGTAGGCTGGTCTGGATCCATGCTGGTCGCAAACCCATTATGTTGGTTTTGTCGTGACACGGCTCAGTTGATCCCTTCATGGCTCTGGGTGCGAGTCCTGCTACAGACTTTGGCTTCTTTCATGCAGGGAAACTAGCTATCAAGCTAGCTGAAACTAGCTATCAAGCTAGCTTGGAAAGACGGTGGCTCTAGTAAGGTGCCTGCAGGTGATAATGTACGGAGGAGCACTTGAGGTCTTCCTCCACCACTAAAGCTGGAAAGTCACAATACAGGCTTTACAATGTTGGTGCAACAGTAAAAAATCAGCTTTTAAAAAAAAAGACATTTAATCTATTGCTGCTGATATTTAACAAAAATTTGAATTTTTTTTTGTGAGCTAGTGATTAAATGGCTGTATGTTATTAATTATTGTGTTTTCTTTTCTACAGGAAAAAGTCAAGGCTATGCTGGTGATTGCCTCAGATAAGAAACGGAATTTTTTTCCTACTTGTGGTAAGTTTACTGAAAATTATGGGTTATTTACATAGAAATATTTTCACAAATTAATCACAGGTCGGTCATTATTATGCTAAAATTACATTTAAACAGCTCTGATCAAGACTCAATGATGTTGTCAGGTAGGGAAGGAAATGGGGACTTTTATCTGTCAACAAAAATAGTTATAATGTTAATAAGAATAAATAGGAGTTCACCTGAAAATATTTAATGTTTGGCACGAAGCATTGCCATATGGACTTCTGCAATAGTTATATAAATCATGCTACTGCAGTCAATATAGACCATGCCCCATGGCTCTGCTTTTTTTTTGGGGGGGGGGGGGGGGGGGAATTATTACGTTTTTGTACAAAACATGAAGATAAGGTGAATTGTCTGATTAAATAAAGGGAAGTAATAAAAAAGAAAATAATTTGTAAAGACAGCATTTTGATTGTCTCTTCTAAGTCGCCTAGTGGCTTAGTAACTTGGCATGTATCAACATGATCAATGAATTAGATCTGAACAAAATTTATATAAAATAATCTAACACTTTTGATCATAAGTGTCCCTACCATGGTGGTCACTTAGTATCATAATTATGATGAATATGAAATATGTTCTGGACAAGTTTATTGAAAGAGTCTCTGATTATTTTTGATTACGTAAACAAATTTGCATTTCGTGTATATTCCCCTTTGCCTTCCCCACTTTATGGTGCTCTTGTTCACCTTCATAACAATAGAAAAAAGTATACAAGTATATTAAAGCAGCACACCTCAAGATGAGCCAAAATATTTCAAGAAAATCAATATTGAGAAAAATGTACAAAATTTTTAAGAATGGTAAAATCATTCTAAATCCAAGTTATATTTTACATGTTTTTAAGCGGTTTATGACCGATTTTGCAGTATTTTTATCACCATATTTCTACTGCGTTAGTTAGGGCTGTTTTTGCAATATGTTTGGATTTTTCTTGGATTGTAATATGTAAATTACTTTATTTGTTCACCTTAATTATTTTACTTTTAAATACATTTTAAAAGTTTTATGAAAATAAACATGAATCTGGAGGCGTTGCGGCTTTAAGCCTAAGATATAAGAATTTAATGTGTTGTTTTATGAATGTTCTTTGTTACAGAGCAGCGTGGTATAAAAGATTTAAAGTTTAAAGATGATCAAGTAACTGTTGAATATGTTGAACTCCTTCATGCTGCATCTGATGGAAAGACACCACAGCTTTATGATAGTTGGGCATTTAAGAAGAAAGTTTTTAATGAAATTGAAGGTATTTCATAGTTTTAATTAGCTCTGCTTTTTTTAAGAGAAATTTCGAGTTAATGCTACAGACAGGTTGTCGTTCACATTTACATTGCTGTCAACCAACTTCAACATTAGCCATTATTTTTAGCACACCTGAGCGCAACGTGCTCATGGTGAGCTATTGTGATCACCCACTGTCCGTCTTGCATCGTGGTGTGTCGTCAATAATTACTTTAAACAAGATCTCCTCTGAAACCAATGACTGCACAGTAACCAAACTTTATAGGAATGATCCTTGGGTTATCCCCATGTTGTTAAAATGGTTCCATTAAGTTTTGCTTGACTTTTGCTATGATTGGCTATAACTTTGTTAGTTATGAATGGATTTTCTTCATACTTGGAATCAAAAATCCTTTCGGACAAGACCTTCAAGATCATAACTAAATTGATTTTGACCTGCACCCATCAGTGACCTTTTCATTGAAGGTCAGTTCAATGAATTTTACTTGATGTTTGCTAAAATTGGCTTAACATTGTTATTAATGAATGGATTGTCTTCATAATTGAGCACAACTACCTTAAGGATAATGTCTTAAAGAAGATCAATCTCAATTTGACCTTGACCTATAAATGAACTTGAAGGTCAAATTATTGGAATTTCAGTTTCTTACTATAATTGGCTATAATTGTAATTATTGAATGGATTACCTTAATACTTTTGCACCATTATCCTTGGAACAAGATGTTAAAGATGATTTAATTAAAGTTGATCATGACCTTTTTTGACCTTGACACTGAAGGTCAGATAAGTGAATTTTTCTACATAGGTCATAACTTGTTATTTATTTATGGATTCCCATTAAATTAAGACAAGAGAACACTCAAAATATAACTGACATGTTAAGTAATTCTTATTGACCTATAAATGACCTTGTATGTCAAGGTCAGATATTGAATTTAGCTTAGATTGAAATGTCATTACTTTATTATTCTTTGACAGCTTTGATTTATACTTGGACAAAAGAACCCTTATGATAAAACCCGTTGCATTAATCTTATATGACTTTAACCTTTAACGTCAAGGTCAAAATTATTAAAAATTTGCGTAAATTGTCATAACTTTATTTATTTATTTATGGATTTGATTAATTCTTGAACAAAAAAAACCTTAGACAGAATTGACTAGGTAATTAATTCAAATATGACCTTGACCTTTAAATGACCTTAACCATCAAGGTCATATATGAAATTTGAATTTGTTTTTACAAGGAAATTATGTTGTTGCGCTCTCTCTGTTGTGGATTTTTAAGTTATTTTGAGAATATTTATGTCAATATTTTGCTCAAATCAATATCCTTTTTTAAAACTAAGATATAAGAACATGTGCTTTAAAACAATTTTTGTTATACTTGCCAACTAAAAATTGAGATCTGCATGAAGCTTAATTTTGGAAGAAAAAAAATAAAACTTTGTGTGTTCTTGTAGAATACTGTAGAGACTGAGTTTAGGTGAGCACATACATAAATCATGGGTGAATAAAGATTGTAAGACAAGAATGAATTGAAGGACGATTATGTATGATAAAAAAAATGATTTCCTTTTCTATTCTAACATGCTGAATAGAAAGAAAATCAATATAGATATTTGTTGAAACTCATTGATTGGAAATTGATTTTTTTTCTTGATGTCATTTGGTTTGTTGAAGTCTCGGATATCTGACATCATGTATTGTGTCATTTAACATTCATTTTCATTATTCTGTACATTGTTAAGGTTTAGAGAAGTCAATCTTTTTTAGAGGGAAATATTGTCTTGTGTTTCTAGAATGTATTTTTAAGTGGCAATTTGTAACTTTTTCACAATTCTTTTCATGTACTCCCTATGTAGGATCAAATGGGATTTATGAAACTGCATTAAACGGGAAGAAAACGGTGATGTGCTATATAATAAAGGTAAGTAAATCATAAACCAATACTGTATTGTTAGCTTGTCTGTTTCTAAGAAAAAAACAACAAGATGTTGTATAGAGAATATTTTTGTTGCGTTTTGCATGTAAGATCAGAAACATATTTCACTCAGTGGACACAAGTTGTAATATTTTTTACGAGTGGCGAAGCTGGTGTTCATGAGTGAAATATATTTCTATCTTGCATGCAAAACAAAAAAGTTTCTATTTATTTCATTTCTTTTTAGTGATTTTAAGTCATTTTTACTTGTTTTTGCCAACATAGCGTCATGTGGGTTCTTCTTCATGTGATGTCATGTAAAATTTCTCGAATTTGTTACATTTATTTACTTGCTCCTCCTAAAGAAGCAAATTTACAGAAGACAGAATGTATTCCTGTAATGATTTCCATTTCGTTATGAAATTATTATTTTCATTCATTAAACTTTTTAATCATAATGTAGCCTTTTATGCAAACATTTTGAAAAGTTATCAATATAATACATGTAAAACTTGCTTATCTTGATAAGGTGCAGTGACAAGGGTCATAATTCTGAAAGCTATATTTTTGAGCTATGCCCCTTTTTAACTGTCAAAAGTGGTTATGTTAGCAGACAAGTGTTCACACCATGTGGAGCTGTGTTTTTTATACCTCTTCCAAAAGATAATTATGACATGATTTTGCAAACAAATATGATAATAGTATTATGACATTGTTCATATAAATAGGATAATTAGGTTATGACATTCTTCATATGAATATGGTAATTAGATTTGACATTGTTCCAAAAGATAATTATGACATGGTTTTGCAAACAAATATGATAATAGTATTATGACATTGTTCATATGAATATGATAACTAGTCCCCTACTGGTTTAACCGGAGGGGACTTTAGGTTTACCCTCCATCTGTCTGTCAGTCCGTCCATCCACAAAACTGGATCCCGCAATAACGCAAAAAGTACTGAAAATATTTTTATGAAACTTGATATATAGATAGATGGCAGTATGGAGATTAGGCATGTGTTTTACTTTTCTTTCTATTTTGAAAATTCTGGTTGCTATGGCAACAAATAGTCTGAAAATATCGCAAATTTAACAAATAAACTGGATCCAGTGATAACTCAAAAAGTACTGAAAATATTTTTATGAAACTTGAAATATGAGTAGATGTCAGTCTGGAGATTATGCACATCTTTTTCTTTTCTGCCTATGTTGAAAATTCTGGTTGCTATGGCAACAAAAAAAACTGAATTTCAAGGTTTCTGATTTAAATTTTTAAGCTTTTTCACTATAAGTTCTTATTTCTTAAGGTGTTAACTTCAAACTTTAAATATAAGTTTCTGGTCATCAACCACATCATATGAGACAAGGTTTACAACTCTAGCACAAAAATTATCAAAATTACCTCCCTTGAACTTAGAATTTCAGTGATAACTCAAAAAGTACTGAAAATATTTTTATGAAACTTGAAATATGGGTAGATGGCAGTCTTGAGATTATGCGCATCTTTTTCTTTTCTTCCTATGTTGAAAAGTCTGGTTGCTATGGCAACAAAAAAAACCTGAATTTCAAGATTTCTGATTTAAATTTTTAAGCTTTTTCTCTATAAGTTCTTATTTCTTAAGGTGTTAACTTCAAACTTTAAATATAAGTTACTGGTCATCAACCACATCATATGTGACAAGGTTTACAACTCTAGCAAAAAAATTATCAGAATTACCTCCCTTGAACTTAGAATTTCAGTGATAACTCAAAAAGTACTGAAAATATCTTTATGAAACTTGAAATATGGGTAGATGGCAGTCTTGAGATTATGTACATCTTTTTCTTTTCTTCCTATGTTGAAAATTCTGGTTGCTATGGCAACAACAAAAAAATGAATTTCAAGATTTCTGATTTAAATTTTTAAGCTTTTTCACTATAAGTTCTTCATTTTTTAAGATGTTTACTTCAAACTTTAAATATAAGTTTCTGGTCATCAACCACTTCATATGTGACAAGGTTTACAACTCTAGCACAAAACTTTTCAGAATTACCTCCCTTGAACTTAGAATTTTTATGAAAAAAATGTTGTCTTTTTTAAATTACTTCTTTATTTCTCAATGTTTTTACTTCAAACTTCATATATATGTTTTTTATTATCACTCAACATTTGTAAGATGGTACAATACTCTAGCAAGACTATTTCCAGAATTATGTCTCCCTTGAACATAGCTTTTTTCTTGATAGCTTTTTTTCTCAAGAAATTGATATTTTTACTCCAACTTCTTTTTTCCTTATAGGATTTACTTCAAACTCTCACATCATAATAATATGACAAGGTTTATAAATCTAGAATCCATATTTCCAGAATTATCTCCTCCTTAAACTTTGAATTTTTCTTATTCATTCTTTAACTTTCTAATTTTTTCTTCATGGATTTTCTTCAAATTCAAAATAAACATTCATTATCAACTCCTACATTATATTTCTTTTTTAATTTTCATCTTTGTTACTTACTAAACATTAAAGTTAATGCTATATTTGAAAATTGTTATTTTTTTTTACTGATCTTCTTTGTGACTATAAATGATATCTTTAAACTTAAAGTAAAAAAAATTCAA